ATGCTTGAGATGCTTTGAGCAGTAGTTTACCAGGCAATTGGAGGGGAAGGTATTTCCAGACAGGAGAATAAAGCAAGTGCCTTAGTCAGATTTGTTCTGCTCCAGCAAAATACCTTGAATGGAGAAACTATGAAGAGTTGATTTTTGCTCATGACTGTAGTGACTGGGGTTTCAGAGAGCATATGTTGGCATCCTGGTAAGGGACCCCTGGATATGTTACAATATGGTGAGGTGGAACGAGAACCTTCTGCATACAGAAGGGACCAGGAGTATGGGGTGGCATTGCTTGTGATAACCCACCCTCTGATCCAGTCACACAAGACCCACTCCAACCCAAAGAGGTGTAGCACTGTAAGCTTGCTGGCACATGTTTGTAATCTCAGTACTTGAGGAGTATAGGAGCGTCTTCAAAGGCTAGCCTGAACTAGTAATAAAGACCATGTCTCAATGGACAAGAACATGCATACAGTTAAAAAAAAAAAGCGTCCGAGGCTAGAGTCACATTCAGGTATTGGTTGTTGTCTTAGTGTGCTAGAGTCCTCGAAGAATAACTGCTGACCTTATTCACTGGCTGTGGACTTTCTGGCACGGTCAGTCACCAGGATAGTGACGTGCATTAAAAAAAAAAAAAAAGCCAAAGGCTCAAGAGATGGCTCAGAGGTTAAGAGCTCTTCCAGAGGTCCTGAGTTCAATTCCCAGCAACTAGCTGGTGGCTCACTACTATATATGAGATCTGGTGACCTCTTCTGGCTTGCAGGCATACATGGAGGCAAGGTATTATATTCACAATAAATAAATAAATCTTTTAAAAAAATAGCCAAACCCCCACAAAATCCAAGAGACAGTAACAATTTATTCATGAGGAGAGAGCCCCATTCTCTAATTATCATTCACTGGGTGTTTCCTTAACTGTTTTCCATCTCAACATCACCACATTGGAACCAGGCTTCCAGGGCGTGAACCTTTGAGAGTAAAAGTATATCCAAGCCACATCAATGAATAATGGTACCCAAGCTTGCTTATGGACTTTATGGACTGGCAAAGGGCTTGGCTTAGTTATAGACTTTGTCTGGACCTGGTTTGTGAAGGTCTTATATTTCAGACTGAGGAGCTCATATTTTATTCTGTATCTGTAAGATAAGCAATGTGTATTTGGGTAGGGTAGGCTGGGTGGGTGTTTATGTAGCCTAGGATTTTTTTTTTTTTTTGGTTTTTCGAGACAGGGTTTCTCTGTGGCTTTGGAGGCTGTCCTGGAACTCGCTTGGTAGTCCAGGCTGGTCTCAAACTCACAGAGATCTGCCTGCCTCTGCCTCCCCAGTGCTGGGATTAAAGGCGTGCGCCACCAACGCCCGGCGTAGCCTAGGATTTAAAGTGCAGAAAGGGTGTCAGTTTATAATTTTAACTTAGGTTACATTCACAGCTATCTTTGGCTGCGTGACTTTTTTTTTTTCTTTCTTTTTTTTTCTTCAAGGCAGAGTTTCTTTGTGTAGCCTTGGCTGTCCTGCAACTAGCTCTGTAGACCAGGCTGGCCTTGAACTCAGGGAGATCTGCCAGCCTCTGCCTCCTGAGTGCTGTGATTTAAGGCATGAGCCATCACCACCTGGCTGCAGGACTTTCTCTATGGAATTCAATACTTGTTTTTGAGACTGTATCACAGTTGATACTACATCAAGATAATATGAGAAATACCATGATATTATCTTTAAGGGGATTAATCTAGCACCACAGTGGTGGCCTAAGATTGGGAGAGATAATACGAGTTTTTGCACTTAAAAAAGTTTTTTTGGCCGAGCGGTGGTGGCACACGCCTTTAATCCCAGCACTGGGGAGGCAGAGGCAAACGGATCTCTGTGAGTTCAAGGCTGGGCTGGACCGACAGCCTCCAAAACAATACAGAGATTTTTTTTGGGTTTTTCGAGACAGGGTTTCTCTGTGTAGCCTTGCCTGTCCTGGAACACTCTCAGTAAGCCAGACTGGTCTCGAATTTACAGAGATCTGCCTGTCTCTGCCTCCTAAGTGCTGGGATTCAAGGCGTGCGCCACCGCTGCCCTGCTAAAAAACTGTTTATTTTTTGTGTATACAGTGTGGGCACACAGGTGCCATGAAGGGCATGCAGAGGTCAAAGGACAACTTGTGGAAATCAGTTCTCTCTTCCTATGCCTGACGGTGTGATCAGGCATAGTACTTTCCAGTGTTATACATAACTGCAAGCTTTCTTACCAAAGAAAGCGCCTCAAGTAGCCGCCTTCAGCTGGGCTCTGTTTCAGTTGGGATAACCAGGGTTCTTTTTATCACAGCTGGTGGAGTGTTACATAAACACAATATTGGAACCAGTCTTTTACTCTGCCTCCCCGGCCCCAGAAAATTGCTGCCCCTTTAAAAATTCTGGGGTGACAGCTGATGACAAAGAGAAGTTTCAGTTCCAAAGTTGAGATCTATTCTTCCCATAACTATAGCATTGAAAGCTGAATGCAAGGCTGGAAGGATGACTCAGTCGTTAAGAACACATACTACTCTTGCAGAGGACCAAGTTTGGTTCCCAGCACTCATGTTGGGCAGCTCACAACTGCCTGTAATTCCAGCCCTTCAGGGATCCTGGGATACCTCTGTAAACACACACACACACACACACACACACACACAACTATTAACGAGATACCATTTATTTAGCTGGGCAATGGTGACACATACCTTTAATTTCCGCCCTCAGGAGGCCAGGGCTACACAGGGAAACTCTGTTTTGAAAAACAAAACAGACAAACGAATAAATATAGTTTATCATCTCCATTTTATGTTGTGATTTGGCCTAATAATTTTATTTTTATTTTCTTCTTCTTTTTTTTGTTTTGTTTTTTGAGACCGATTTTCTCTGTGTAGCTTTGGAACTTGCTCTGTAGATCAGGCTGGCCTCAAACTCACAGAGATCCACCTGCCTCTGCCTCCCAAATGCTGGGACAAAAGGCATGTGCCACCACTGCCCGGTTTATTTTCTTGTAATATAGATAGTGATATTTAAAGTTGCATTGAGGTGGTTTTCTTTTATGTGTGTTTCTTTTTTGAGGGGAACTGGGGAGGTTGTTTCAAGACAGGGTTTTTCTGTGTAACAATCCTGGCTGTTCTGAAACTCTCTCTGTAAACCAGGTTGGCCTGGAACTCACAGAGATCCACCTGCCTCTGCCTCCCAAGTGCTAGGATTAAAGGCTTGAGTCACCATGCCCAGCTTAATTATTTATCTTTAAGCTAACTAATTTTTAAGGTTTTGTCATCTAGGTTTATTTATTTATTTATTTATTTATTGGTTTTTTTGAGACAGGGTTTCTCTGTGGCTTTGGAGGTTGTCCTGGAACTTGCTCTGTAGACCAGGCTGGCCTCGAACTCATAGAGATCCACCTGCCTCTGCCTCCCAAGTGCTAGGATTAAAGGTGTGTGCCACCAACACACTGCCTGTCATCTGGGTTTATATATAAGAGGTTAAATATATATAAACTGTGAAAACAGAATGTAAGGTTATTGTAGCAAATGGTTTGTCGTTCTACAACCCTAGCCCATCATTTTCTGAGTAAATCTTATATAATAAACAAGATACTACTGAGTATATCACAAAAAGGGGGACTGAGTATGTAGCTTTGTTGGCAGAGTGCTTGCCTAGCATACCCAGGCCCTGGGTTTGATCCCAGTATCACATAAAGCCAGTATAGGACACATGCTTATCATCTCAGCTTTCAGGAAGCAGAAGCAGAGAATCAGGAATTCAAAGTCACCTTCAACTACACAACAAATTTATCCTGGCTTCGGTGAGACTCTCAAGAACAAACAAATTGAATGTGATGGTACACACCTATAATCCCAGCACTCACGAAGTATAGGCAGGAGGATTAGAAATTCAAGGTCTTCCTCAACTACATAGTAAGGTGAAGGCCAGCCCAAGATGGATGAGGCCCTGTTGCAAAGCAAACAAATGAACAAGCAGAGGTAGAACTGTGTTAGGGACTATTACTTTAACTGGGCAACAATGTGTTACATTTGTTTCTGGTGCATTTTTAACCATGTAAAGATGTGTTGCATTTGTTTATGCTGCATTTGTTTAATGATGCAAAGATGTTACATTTGTTTATGCTGCATTTGTTCAACATGCAAAGATGTGTTACTGTTTCACCTTGCCTGCCTAAGACACCTGATTGGCCTAGCAAAAAGCTGAACAGCCAATAGATAGACAGTAGAGGAACAAACAGGGCTGGTAGACAGAGAGAATAAGTTGGAGAAGAGAGAGAGAAGGAGAGAATAAGGGAGGAAAAGAGAAAGACACCCAGGGCCAGTTAGTCAGACACAGAGTATGGCATACAGAATGAAAGAGACGTGAAAAGCCCCAAGACAAAATGTAGATGAAGAGAAACGCATGAAATTTAGTAATGAGGTGGGACGAGCATAAGATAAGGCGGAGCATTCATAGCTAATAAATCTCTGTGTCACGACTTGGGAGCTGATTGGTGGCCAAAGAGAGCCTGTTACAGAGGTAGGACTGAAGGAATGGCTCAGTGCTTAAAACTGCTTACCACTCTTGCAGAGGATCCAAATTCAGTTCCCAGCACCAATGTTGGACACCTCACAAGGTCCTACAACTCCAGCTACAGGGATATCTGATGCCTCTGGCCTCTGTAGGCACCAGCACTATGCAAATTCCTTTGAACAAACACACACATAATTTTAATTTTTTACTCTTTGAAAAAGAGATAGAACTGAAGTTAACATTGAATAGCAGTGAATTCCTCTTTGGTACAGGGGTTTATGCTGAGACTCCAGGACCATGGGATGAAAATATTATACATAGATAGGTAGGCTGGGTCTGATCACCTATAAGAACCTTTCTAATGAGTTTTTTCATTTCATAAGCTTTGCCCTTAATCTCAGTGACCCCTCTTTCTGGATGTTCCCATTTCTCAGACCCCCTTACAGTCTCTGGCTTTTCAGATTTTCTTTATTCTGCCTATCTGTGTCCCCAGTGCCCCAGGTGCTAAGGAGCTGTGCAGAGTTTGTGCAAGAGTATGGCGTGGTGGATGGAATCTACCGCCTCTCAGGGGTCTCCTCTAACATCCAGAAGCTCCGGTGAGTCAGACAGAGCGGACAGCCTCTGTGGGCAGGGAGCCGTGGTAGAAGCTGCTGGGGAAGGCTGGAGGAGGGGTAAGGGGAAGTGGGAGAAGGAAGCACAGACATTAGGTACTATTCCAGGGAGAGGCCCTAAAGTCCAGTCGGGTAAGGTGGGGATCCCAAGCTTACTCCCCCAGAACACACAACTTTCTCCATTCCCACATATACAGTCTGTTTTTAAGACACACACACATACACACATACACATACATGATTTGCATACTATAAAATTCACCATTTAAAAATGTTTGCATCAGTTAATTTTTAGTATATCCACAACACTGCAACCATCACCATTAATTCCAGAACATGGCACCATTCTCCAAAAACACTCTATATTTCCCCTTCACCTAACTTGACTTTCTGTCTGTATGGATCTGTCTGTTCTGGACATCTCATATAAACCAAATGATACATGTTTTTGTAAGTCTGGCTCTTCACTGAGTTCTTTCAAGGTTCATGCATTCTGTGGCATGTACTAGTATTTTATTGCTTTCTATAGATGAATACAATTCTCCAGCATAGCTATATAACATGCTCCTCCTCCCCCCATTTACCAGTTGATGGCTATTCAGGTTGTTTCCACCTTTGGTTATTAGGTGCAAAAGTTTTATGGCTGTATTTTCAGTTATTGCCAATGTATACCTGAGTGGAATGGCTGAACTGTATTGTAACTTCATGTTGAACTTTTTAAAATAACTGCCAAACTGTTTTCCATAACAGCTGTATCATTTACATCCCTGCCAGCAATGTATGATCGTTCCAATTCCTCCAAAGCCCTGCCAACCTTTATTACTGTCTTTCTGATTGTAGCAATCCGGGTGGGTGTGTAATGATATGTCATTGTGATTTATGTATGCATTTCCTCAGCTACAGATGAGGTTGAACACCTTTCATGTACGTCTTTTGGGAAATGCCTATTCAGATTTTAGCCTTTTAATTAATATTTTTGAGTTGTAATAAGATTATATGTTCTGAATATTAGATTTTTTGAGACCAGGTTTCTCTGTGTAGCCATGGCTATCCTGGATGAATTCACTCTGTAGACCAGGTTGGCCACAGAGATCTGCCTGCCTCAGCCTGAGTGCTGGGATTAAAGTGTGCCATCACAGTCTGGCTGAGTACTAAATTTTAATCAGATGTGTGATGAGCAGTGTTTCCCCCTCCCCATTTGGGGTTTGTGGGTTGTTCTCCTCCTCCTCTTCTTCTTTTATTCATTTTATTCATAGTGTCTTTTGACAAACGTTCTTTTTCTTTTCTTCTTTTGTGTGTGGCATATGCCTGTATATGTTTGTGTGGTTACGCGCATTTGTGTGGAGGCCAGAAGTCAATGCTGTTTATTTTCCTCAATCATCTTATTTTTAAAATTAATTCATTTTTATTAAGATATCTTAATTTTGTGTGTATGGTTGTTTTGTCTGCTTGCATGCCTGTGTATCATGTGTGTGCCTAGCACCCACAGAGGCAAGACGAGGCCCAGAACTGGAGTTACAAATGGCTGTAAGGCACCATGTGGGTGCTGGGAAGGGAACCTAGATCTTTTGCAATAGCAGTCAGTGCTCTTAGCCACTGAGCATCTTTCCAGTCCCCTCTCCATTATTATTGTTGTTTGAGACGGTGTATCTTCTGAACTTGCAGCTTTCAGATTTGGCTAGACAGACTGGCCAGCAAGCTCCTGGGATTCCCCCAGTGTTGAGCTCTGCTGCCGTGTCTGGCTTTTTCTGTGGGTGCTGGGGATCCAAACTCAGATCCTTATGCCTACAGGGCAAGCACTTTATTAACTGAGTGTCTCCCTGCCACCCTCTCCCCCAATCTTACTCTCTCTCTTTTTTTTTTTTTTTTTTTTTTTTTTTTTTTTTGGTTTTTCGAGACAGGGTTTCTCTGTGGCTTTGGAGGTTGTCCTGGAACTCACTCTGTAGACCAGGCTGGCCTCGAACTCACAGAGATCCACCTGCCTCTGCCTCCCGAGTGCTGGGATTAAAGGCGTGCACCACCAACGCCCGGCTCCCAATCTTACTCTTAAACTCAGACTAGTCTTGAATTTATTATATAGCATAGGCTAATCCCAAATTCATGGAAATTCTCCTTTCTCAGGAGAATTTGCATCATCAATTTATCTATCTTCTTCTTTTGGTTATTGGTACTTTAGCAACTGCTGGCTAATCTAATTAAGACTATTAAGACTTACCATGTTTGTTTTAAGCATCACACCCAGGCTAGGCATAGTGACATATGCTTTGGGTGCCAGCATTTTGGAGGCAGAGGCAGATGGATCTGGATCTCTGTGAGTCAGAAGTCAACTTGGTCCAGCCACCCACAGCTATGTAGTGGGACCCTTTCTCAAAAAATGAAAGGCACGTTTAAGTCCATTGCCTGTGTCTACTACTAATTCCTACATACCTGTCTGCTGCTAGTCGTATATCTCTGGTTAGTCATGCACAGATCCACTTACCTGTCTCTACACCCATCTTTACATTCACATCTACATATCCACATATAAAGTTCCTAATTTTTCTTCTTTCTTTTTCTTTTTCTTTCTTTCTTTCTTTTTTTTTTTTTTTTTTTTTTTTTTTTTTTTTTTGGTTTTTCGAGACACGGTTTCTCTGTATTGTTTTGGAGGCTGTCCTGGAACTCACTCTGTAGACCACACTGGTCTTGAACTCACAGAGATACTCCTGCCTCTGCCTCCCAAGTGCTGGGATTAAAAGTGTGTGCCACCATGCCAGGCAATATTTCTTGGCATACATAGGAATTATATGTAAGTAGGCCAGTGAATATGTATGTATGTATGTATATTATTATGTACATGTGTATATTTGTACATTCCAATATTCTCCTTCCAAGTCTCACACATGTTAGACCATGACCCTGCCTGCAGCCGACCTGCATAGGTCCTACTTCTCCCTGCACATCCTCTGTCTGACCTTTACCACTCCTGACCACTCTGCACCTCCCCAGGCAGGAATTCGAGGCAGAGCGGAAGCCGGATCTTCGGCGGGACGTTTACCTCCAGGACATTCACTGCGTCTCTTCCTTGTGCAAGGCCTATTTCAGAGAACTGCCAGACCCCCTCCTCACTTACCGGCTCTATGACAAATTTGCTGTGAGTTGAGAGGCAGAGGGAGGGGTGGAAGACAGGGTTCAAGGGCCACCACTTCAATTTTGACATCCCATGGGTGTCATACGCCAGCCTAGTGATCCTGAGTGACAGCAAAGCGTCACTGAGAAGAAGAGCCCTCCTTCCCAGACCTCTTCAGGGCCCTGCCACCTCTGCCAAGCCCTGTCCCTCTTGTCTTCTCCCTAGGGTGTATTTCCCCTAACCCTGAAGACCGCAAGCAGCACCGCGGTGAGGCTTGGGAGCTAGAGGGCAGGTCTCAGAGCTGGGAGCCTTGGAAAGCACCTCCCTCAGAGTTTCCCTACACTTAAGAGAACAAAATGCTGGTTATATAACAGAAATACTTTCAGGAATGTCCCTCCGTCAAATGTAACTGTATCTTAAACAGCTCCGGAGGTGAAAGCATATGACAAAAATGGTGTCCTGATTTGAGTAATACTTTTAAAGTAAAGTTGTAGCTAGCTACTTGGGAGGTTGAGGCAGAAGGATTGCTGGAGCCTAGAGTTTGAGCCTAGACTGGGCAACATAGCAAAATCCTGTCTACTTGCCAAAAGAGCTTGCATTTTACCGAGTGCAACAACACTGAGACTCTGAATAACAACCATCGCCTACTCAGTCCATCCAGACTAACTTGGGTGGGTCACTTTCCCAGACACCTTTCAAGGGTCTAGTTCCAGAGCTGTACCAAGGTGGACACTGAAGCAGACAAAGTAGACACTGGGGCAGGGGAATTGCAGTGAGTTGCTCAAGGTCACAAGACAGACTATTAAGTGTATCCACAAGATTCAGCCGTCATTTGTGGGCCCGAAGATCCTAAGCTTTCTTTCTGTGATTCTGGGGATCAAACCAATGGTCTTGTGCATGCTAGGCAGCACCCTACCACTGGGCTGCATCCCAGCCCTTGTTCTCTGCCTCCAGAGTGCTGGGGTCATAGGTATGTGCTACCATGCTCAGCCTGAGGTGTCTCCACTATTTTACGATGCCTTGAAGATCTAGGTGAGCCCACTGTGGAACGCAGCTGTAGATTGTCCCTGAGTGTAATTTGGACCTCTGAGGAGCAAGGGGGTCATCTCTGAGTCAATGTCTCCTTATACCCTTGTCCCCAACTAGGAGGCAGTGGCAGTACAGCTAGAGCCAGAACGCTTGATCAAGATCCTTGAAGTGCTTCAAGAACTCCCTGCCCCAAACTACAGGTGTGTGGGGTTCCACCCTCTGTATTCCAGAGACGCTGCCCCTCCCACCCCACCTATGGCCCAGGACTTGCTGGTCTCTCTCAGCTTTCAGGTCTCAGCCCATCCCTGCCTCTATTGTTTTTTAGGTGATTCTTTTTTTCGTTTCTGCAGGACGCTGGAGTTCCTTATGAGGCACTTGGTCCACATGGCCTCATTTAGTGCCCAAACCAACATGCATGCCCGAAATCTGGCGATTGTGTGGGCCCCCAACCTGCTGAGGTGGGTGCGTGCGTGAGCAGTGTGTAGCTGCTGGGAGACTTACCTTGTTGTAGAAAGATATTATCCAAGTGGATGCCGTTGTGTGGGGATCGTGTCAACTCAGCAAGACAGAATGGTTCAGCAGTAGCGTAGTCAGGTCCTATAAAGTCCATCAACGCTGGGCGGTGGTGGCGCACGCCTTTAATCCCAGCACGCCGGAGGCAGAGGCAGGAGGATCTCTGTGAGTTCGAGGCCGGGCTGGACCGACAGCCTCCAAAGCAATATAGAGAAACCCTGTCTCGTAAAAAAAAAAAAAAAAAAAAAAAAGTCCATCAACATGGGCCTTCTGAGACCAAGTGAATTTCTTAAGAGCAAGGCCTTTGTTCCTTACATTGTACTGTGGACTTTGGAGACAGAATATTGGTCTTTGCAAAACATTTCCTGAGCAAACATCTCACGATCTATTCAAGAACTAGGCTGTGTATCACTCACTGTGACACAAAGCATTATTAATTATAAACAATTCTCATAATTATAACAACTATGAAAGAAAGTAAAGATCTCTGTGACTTTAAGGCCAGCCTGGTTCACAGAGCTAGTTCTAGGACAGCCAGAGATGTTACACAGAGAAACCATGTGTCGAAAAACAAAAGAAATAAGCAAACAAAAAAGAAAGTAGAGATTATTTGAGGGTGTCTAAGATGGTTTTTTGGGGGAGGTGATATTTGAACTTAAATAATACCTGTGGTTTAAGAGGTAAAAATGGAAGTGAGGACTAGGAGCAGAGCGTATAGAGTGTTTCAGAGGCTAGGCATTTTGTAACACGGTTTTAACACCTGCACCCAGGAGTCAGAGGCAGGTGGATCTTTGTGAGTTCATGGTGGATCTTTGTGTGTATACCCAGATAGTTCTAGTCCAGTTACAGCCACAGCTATATAATGAGACCTTGTCTGTCATCCACGAACTCGTGTGTGTGTGTGTGTGTGTGTGTGTGTGTTTTCAGAAGACTTTAGATGGGAAAGTGTTTTGAGACTTGGGAGGGACTAACTCCACACATTTGCAGGTCTAAGGACATAGAGGCCTCAGGCTTCAATGGGACAGCAGCATTCATGGAGGTGCGTGTGCAGTCCATTGTTGTGGAGTTCATCCTCACCCATGTGGACCAGCTCTTTGGGGGTGCTTCCCTCTCTGGTTAGTGTCCTTTCTGCCCATTACCAGCCACTGCTCTCTGCTGGGGTGAGCTTTAGTTGTTTTATGGTTTGGACTAAGACCAGTTTTCTCATTTTGTGGGAAGGAAGACTGTGTCTCTCACAGAGGGAGGTATGTGATAATCACATGCAGAGAACACTGGAGAAATATCAGTACAGCTGAGGCTTGAGCAGGCCTCTTCTATCAGCATTCAGGCACAGCGCCTGGTCTCTGTATCATCACCTTCGATGCCAAGACTAATGTCTTGGGATCTCCTGGCTCTCTTCATTCTTGAGAATACCCTTATGAAATGGATAGAGACGGTCTATCTCCAAGCTGGGTGTTGGTGGCACATGCCTTTAATGCCAGCACTCGGGAGGCAGAGGCAGGCAGATCTCTGTGAGTTCAAGGCCAGCCTGGTCTACAGAGCAAGTTCCAGGACAGTCTCCAAAACAATACAGAGAAACCCTGTCTTGAAAAACCAAAAAAAAAAAAAAGGGTCTAGCTCCAAGAGCCTTAGCTTGGTAGTTGGTGAGGGTGGATGGACTGGGGACTTGGCTCTGTTATTGGCTGGTCAATTCTTTTTGTTTTCCTAGCTGGTGCAGATTTGGAGAGTGGGTGGAAATCATTTCCAGGGGCCCGGGCATCAGGCAGTTCTGAAGATATCATGCCCAGGTCTCTTCCCTACCATTTGCCCAGCATCTTGCAAGCTGGCGATGGACCTCCACAGATCCGGCCCTACCATACGATCATTGAGATCGCAGAACACAAGTAAGGCCTCCTTTTGGACATCGCTTTCCTTGCACTGATCACCCAGACTCCACTCCTAATTGTATCTCCATTATCTACAGGCGAAAGGGATCTTTGAAGGTCAGGAAATGGCGATCTATCTTCAATTTGGGTCGCTCTGGCCATGAGACAAAACGTAAACTTCCACTGAGGGCTGAGGACAGGGGTAGGTCTGCGATAATGAGGGAATTGGGCTCTGCTGAGGGTGTGCAAGGTCTTGGTGCTATGTACATTCCTATTTCTAGAAGAAAAATCCAGTAAGGGGACACTGCGGCCTGCTAAGAGCATGGACTCACTGAGTGCTGCAGCTGGGGCCATTGACGGTGAGTACAGGTGTTAGTGGTAATGTGTATGTGTACGTTCTGTGACCATAACAATGCAGGCTTGTGTGTCTACAAATGTGGCCAACTGTGTCCATAATTAACAATCAATGAATAATTATATACCAGTCTTGAAGACAGATACCAAGTTTTACAATAGATTAGCCTATTGCCTAATCTGTGGGTAAATTCATGAGTATTTGTACTTGGAGACTCTCGAGTATGTGTGTAGGAGGCTATAAGCGCGCGCGCGTGCACACACACACACACACACACAGACGTTACTGGTAGCTAGTGATGGTATCTATGGAGAGGTCAGGTATGTGTGACCTTTGACCTGCTGACAGGATGGATAATTTGCAGTAGTGGCCAAAGGAAGCTCAGTCTGGTACCTTCCAGTCATCCTACCACTAAAACCTAAGAAAACAGAGCTGTTGAGCGTTACTTAGGAGCTGTCAACGCCCTTTGGAGCTGAGGCTACTAACTACGTGACCCTGTTTCTCTTCTGCAGAGCCCGAGGGACTGGCAGGAACCAGCAGTTCTCAGCCAAGCTCACTGGTGTCTGAGAGCTTGGAGAATAGTTCTATGGAAGCAGCAGAGAGTGAACAGGAGCCTGAGTTAGAGGCATCGGGCAGTGCAAATTCTGAGCCAGGAACTCCACGAGCTGGGCGATCAGCTATTCGGGTCTCAGGGAGCAGTCGTGCAGAGCGCTGTGCTGGTGTCCATATCTCAGACCCCTACAACGTCAACCTCCCTCTACACATAACCTCTATCCTCAGTGTACCTCCAAACATCATCTCTAACGTCTCCTTGGTCAGGCTTACCCGTGGCCTTGAGTGCCCTGCTCTACATCCCAGGCCAAACCCTGCCTCAGGTCCCAGCCCAGGCCCTGGCCCCCCAGGTGAGAACTTGCAGATCGCCTAGGGCTGGAAGGGGATCTAGAATTTTAGGTTGAAGCTCTGTTGCTGAGGACATAGCCTTGGAAGGTCAGAGGCTTCAGCCCTTTACCCTGACTGCCTAGATTTGGGGTCTGGGGATCCGGTAATATCATTATGTTATATGAAGTGAATGGAGAAGGTATCTCTGCCAGGCTTTGCCCCAAGAATAGGGGTCTGTGCCAGATACACAAGGGATTTAGTGTCGGGGTCTGTATATTTGGAAATCTATCCCACCCTGCCACGAGTTCAGGAGAGCCTCAATTTCTGTTGTCTTTATTTTTTGAGTGTATTTCTGTGTAAGGGAATTGCACGTCCATGTGTGCACATGAATGTAGGGACCAGAGGACAACCTTAGATGCTGTTCTTAGATGATGTCCACATTTTTTTCTATGACATTTTTTTCACTGGCCTGGAACTTGTTAAGTAGGCTAGGGTGGTTGGTCAACTAACTCCATGGACCAACCTGTCCCCATTTTTCAGCACTGGGATTACGAAAGTATACCAACTTTCCCAGAGTTATTTTACAGGAACTCTGGGGACCAAACTCAGGTCCTCATATTTACATACAGTCACTTTATGAACCAAACCATCTATCCAACTTCTCCTTATAACATTTTATTCTGTAGGGAAAATACAAAAATTCAATATAAAAATATAAAACACAAAGCCAGGTGGTGGTGGTGGCAGCGGCAGCGGCGGCAGTGGCGCACGCCTTCAATCCCAGCACCTGAGAAGCAGAGGCAGGCGGAGCTCTGTGAGTTTGAGTCCAGCCTGAGTTACAAAGTTACACAGAGAAACCCTGTTTCAAAAGACCAATATATATAATCTTAGAGCTGGTCATGGTGGTGCATGTCTTTTTTTTTTTTTTTTTTTTTGAGACAGGGTTTCTCTGTATTGTCTTGGGTCATGGTGGTGCATGTCTTTTTTTTTTTTTTTTAGACAGGGTTTCTCTGTATTGTCTTGGAGCCTGTCCTGGAACTCGCTCGGTAGATCAGGCTGGTCTCGAACTCACAGAGATCCACCTGCCTCTGCCTCCCAAGTGCTGGTGGTGCATGTCTTTATCTCAACATTTAGGGGGCAGAGATAGATTGATCTCTGTGAGTTGAGGTCAGCCTGGCTTATCTAGTCAGTTCCATGTCAAGTAGTGCTGGGTAGTGACACCTTGCCTGGAAAAACAAACAAACAAAATCCCCAAGAACCAAAGAAATACACAAACAATCCACAATGCTTGGCCCTTGAGGGAGGATTAATAAAGAGGTCTGTAAGTAGTTAGTCCACCTGGCTCATCCTCTTAGACCAGGGTGACTATTAAGTACTGGGAGTGTTGGGCCCCTAGCATATGACTATGAGGAATACCCATATCAGAAAGGGTTGGGGCTGACCTTGACTTTTGGATTTCTGGAACTACCTTTCCTTCAACAGATGAGAAGTCGGAGGCAAGATCAGTCCCAGGCCCCCTGACTGACTCAAGCCCAGAAGACACGACCCCTGCCCTGGAAGACTCCTTGTCCCAGGAGGTGCAGGATTCCTTCTCCTTCCTAGAGGACTTGAGCAGCTCAGAGCCTGAGTGGGTGGGGGTAGAGGCTAGGGAAGTGACCAAGGCAGGAGCCTCAGGAGCAGCAGGAGCAGCAGCTTTCTCCCTTGGGGAGGACGACCCTGGGATGGGCTACCTGGAGGAGCTCCTGGGAGTTGGGCCTCAGGTAAGGAGGAGCCATGCTGGGTATGAGGGTAGTGTGTAGCTTAGAGAGTGGATAGGGCTACCTGGTCCTTACCCATTGCTATGCCTACAGGTGGAAGAGTTCTCTGTGGAACCACCCCTGGATGATCTGTCTCTGGATGATGCACAGTACGTCCTGGCTCCTAGCTGCTGTTCCCCCGATTCTGACGGCCCCACACCTGAAGTGGAAGAGGAAAATGGGGAAGAAGTCTTCTTGAGTGCCTATGATGATCTGAGTCCCCTTCTGGGACCTAGACCCATGAACTGGGAGGGTGTAGGGAGTCTGGAGGAAGAGGCAGCAAGGTGTGGGAAACAACCTCCAATACAGGCTGAAGAGAAACAGGTATGCTGGGAAGCTGAAGAGGACAAGGAGGCTGAACCTGGAAGCACATCAGATAACAGGGAAGATGCAGAGGCAATTCCAGAGACTGATATGGAAGCCGGAAAGGCTGATGAGGGAGGAGGGGAGGCTGAAATAAGCCAAAAGGTGATGGGTAGTTCTGAAGAAGGCAGTGGTGAAGAGATAGAGACCATGGAAGAGAATTCCAAAGGTCAGGGGGTTGAAAGTATAGAGACTAAGGATATGGAGGAAACAAGAGGAGAAGAGGATAAACACGAGAAGGAAAGTGAGATTGGGAGAAAAGAAGGAACTGAGAAAGGAGAGGACATCCCTGTAGAATCTGGAATGGATCCAGAACATCCGGTCCAGGAAAACCTGCTTCGTGGGGAGAGCTGGGAAGATGTACACACACAAGAGGCCGAGAAAGGCAAAAAGGATGAGATCAAAGGACTGAGGGGGAATAGTGACACCAAGTCAAGAGAAGACCAAGGACATGGTGAAGCTAGTGGAAGTCCAGAAGAAGATGATGGGGAGGGAGGGGAGGTCAGCAAGGAACGAAAAAGTATAGATATAGAGACTGAAGGCAAGAGAGCTGTCGGTGAGCACTCGGAAGAGGGGGCCTTCTCTGACAGGTCAGGTGTAGAGCTCCTGGAGGTTGACAGTACAGAAGTCAATGAACAGTCTTTTGAGATGGAACAAGGCCCTCCACAGCCATCTGAGCCAGAGGGGATGGAGGCTGAGGAACAGCTCAGTCCTGAGGCATGTGACCTCTATTCTTGTCCCTGTGGTTCAACTGGTGGTGTAGGCATGCGTCTGGCTTCCACCCTAGTTCAGGTCCAACAGGTCCGCTCTGTTCCTGTAGTGCCCCCCAAACCACAGTTTGCCAAGATGCCCAGTGCAATGTGTAGTAAGATCCATGTAGCACCTGCAAGCCCGTGTCCTAGACCTGGTAGGCTTGATGGGACTCCTGGAGAAAGGGCTTGGGGGTCTCGTGCTTCTTGGAGGAATGGGGGTAGTCTTTCCTTTGATGCTGCTGTGGCCCTGGCCCGGGAACGACAGAGAACTGAGGCTCAGGGAGTTCGACGAACCCAGACTTGTACTGGGGGTGGTGATTATAGCCTCCACTCTAGAACCTCTCCTCTCAGCATGACTCCTGCCCATTCTTCCCGGCCCCTTAGCTGTCTGGAACTCCCACCTGAAGGCACAGAAGGGTCTGAGCCTAGGAGTCGGTTTAGTTTGCCACCTAGAGAGCTTCAGCCTCTTGTCCCTCTTACGTCCCCTCAGCGACAGACATATGCATTTGAAACACAGACTAACCGTGGGAAAGAAGAAGGGCTGTGATTAGGATGGGACAAGAGGAACCAGAAATGGTCACCAGTCTCTGGAATCCCTGCCTAACTGTCTTTGCACCCTCAGTAGCTGAAGTGCTTTGTCCCACAGGTTTGGGTCCTCCAGCTACCTGTTTTGACCATGGGGGCACTGCCTTGGTGGGTTCACCTTGAGTTTGTGTTAGACACAAAGCACTTATCTCTTAGCAGAGTCTTAAGAAATATAGGAAGGCATTGTTACCCAGGAAGTTGTGATTATTAATGAAACATAGGGTAGGTAGAAACTTATGCGTTTTTTTTTTCTTGAATTTAAATACAGAGGGGGAATTCCAGCCAAACTCCTGCCCTCTTCTGAGGCTGTGAACTTCTCCTCATAGAAGCCTAGGGTAGATGTGAAGAACACAGGGCTAGATATAGAATTGCTCATCCCTGCTGGGCGGTGGTGGCGCACGACTTTAATCCCAGCACTCGGGAGGCAGAGGCAGGTGGATCTCTGTGAGTTCGAGGCCAGCCTGGTCTACAGAGTGAGTTCCAGGACAGCCTCCAAAGCCACAGAAAAACCCTGTCTTGAAAAAAAAAAGAATTGCTCATCCCTGATTTGCTCCCAGATCCTTGGCTGTCTCCTGACCCTTTTAGCTCAATTAGGAGAAACATGTCCAAGAAGCTCTTAAAGTCCTCAATACTCACTGAAGGAAATAGATGACATCCTCTGTCTTCTATTATTTTGCAGAAGAGGTCCTGTACAGATCTCTCTGGTCTTTCTTTTTCCCATTAGAATAACCTCCTCCCATTTCAAAAAAGAGGATGTCTGGTCATCACTCCGGCCCTGGCACTGCTTCTCTGCATAGGTGGAGGCTACAGACCCCGTTTAGCAATGATAACTGTTTGATAATAAAGTTGATTGTTTGACACTGAAATAAGTGTATAGACTTACTCTTATTTATTTATTTGGGGGAAAGGTATCACATTTGAATTTTGCCAAAAAGTATGTATCTTGTTTAGAGTTTCTTCCTTAGTTGTCATGGAAACCTGTAGCTAGAAAGTAGAACTGGGTTTGTGGTGGTCAAGAAATGGGGAAGAGAAACCTGTATTTACATAATGTTCATCTAATGCCAGGAATTGGAGTGTGCATAAAGACTTTTCCCTTGGATTTATTTAGTCCACTTAATTTGGTGAAGTTGGTATTAGTATTTCCATTTTACAGATGAGAAATAAGATGTAATTAAGTAAAAATGCTTATCAAAGATCTCAGAGTTAGGAAGTGGCAGTTTCCGGGGCTTGGTAGCACAGGTCCTTTAATCCTAGCTCTCAGGAGGTAGAGGCCATGGTCGGTGTGTACGTTTATGTGTGTGTAGGGGGTAATGGTGGTGGGGGGTGGTAATCCATGTGACTTCAGGGACAGCCTGATCTACATAAGACAGTTAAGAACTAACTACATAGTGATCCTGTCTCCAAAAAAAAATGTCAGTTGTGGATTTAAGATCGGTGTCTGAATGGTTTCAGAGTCTGAATTCTAGCTATTTATTCTTCACTATTCCAGAACCATTATGGGTATATACCCTAAATGAGAAAAATGGTAATCAAAATTGTCACACATGAGCCTCAGAAAAACTGGAAGATATGAGGTCTTTGGGGATTGCTGACGCTAGTACAAAGGAATATACCCAGATCTACATATGGCCAGAAATATCCCAATGTTCACTTAGAAACCTCTCAAAAATGCCCTGATCCAAGATGGCGTCCCAAATTGCCCTTGTTAAAGACGGCCCCTACATCCTTTTAGTGGAACTAAAAAGGCTTCGCCTAGCACCAAGATGGAAGTACTATTTAGTCGTGTTTTTTTTTTTTTCTGGTTCTTGCTGAAAACAGCTAGAACTCCAGCGACGTCCGTTTCTCTTCGGGGCCTGTAAAAACTCACATACCCACGTCGGCTTTAGCGCGCATCCAAGTTTGAAGCGAACGGAAATGGGGCGGTTCTGGGGCCGTCAGTAGGCAGGGCGGGTCGAGGAGACACTTCCGCCCTTCACCAACATGTCCGCAGGCTGCGATTGCGCATGAGCAGCTGTCTATGGAGAGACCTAGCTCCAAAGAGGGAGAACGCAGCCGGGGGAAATCGGCGACTGTAGCGGCCTGGGTCGGTGAGTGCGCGGGAGCCAGCCGGGGTCTGGAGACGAGGTGGAGCGGCGAGGCGGGGCAGCTTGGCTTTGCTTCGTCTTCTCCGGGCAGGCAACGCCGGGGCACGAAGCCTTTGTTTTGGGGGAGGGGGCCGTGCCTGGCTCTTTATCTCCAGCCCTGCTTTGTGGGCCGAGCTCGCTCCCCGGCCGGGGTGCACACGTCCCACCCTCCCGAGCTGTCCCGCCGCGGGCCGCAGCTGCCAGCCGCGGGCCTGGGGAGGATCCCGGCGTCCTTTCCTGTCTCCTTTGCGGAGCAGCTGGGGCCGACGGGGTCACCGCGTGGGCTTCGGGGCTCGCGCCTGGCGGGTGCTCAGCTCCCCGAGCGCCTCCTGCTAGTTGGTGGGCCTGCAGGGAGACGCCTCGTTCTCAGGCAAGGTCCGAGCGCCTGCATTCTTTCAGAACTTGATCTCTTTTTTTGCCTCTGCGTCCGTGCTTGACGAGGGTGTTTGCTTGGCCCTCCTTTTGCGCGTGCAAACCACAACATCCTATGCTGATTTCCGTGTCACATAGCCTTAATGCTCAGGAAACGCTTCCGGATGTACAACCAAGATTTGAGTAAGTAGCCTAACGCCGTTGCTGGGTGGCCTCAGAAGTTGCTCTGTTTGACAGCTGTGGGTTATGCAGTTGCTTCTCTTCCTTGCCTGCTCCTGAAGGCCGTGCAACAAGCTTCGGAGGGGCTCTTCCTCCTGCGTTGGAGTTTAGAGACTTAGGTGGTCCCCAAACTCTGGTGCTGCCTCCCTTTGCAACATTACTTTGAACGGTCAGTTTCACTTTCGGTTCCTTTTTGTTGTTATTTTTGTTACCATTTTCTTTGCTCGCGGGCTTTCCAAGGCTTTTTATTCCCTAAACTACGATTTTCTTGGCATTAGAAAGGTTTGGAGGATCTTATGGGTGAAAATTTTACAAAAATCTTGCCCTTTCTTGTTGAGATTATTTTATTGCTTTGTACTGTGCAGCCGTTTCTTTCTGGAGGCATCTGTCTGCTCAGTTCTTTGTTTTTCTGGTCTCTGGCGGGGTGTCAAGAGTCCTAAGGCAGAAACATTGTAGATGGATTCCTCCCCCATTGTCTTTTCTCCTCCAGAACCCTGAGCCTGGATTTTTTCCCCCTTCCTCCTGAGGCTTAGTTGATTTGGAGTTGTCATGGCAACATTTTAGCAACTGTGTTTCTCTACAGGAAGCCTTGATGAATAAAATAAAGGAGACTTGAATATGATGCACTTGAGCTTTGAGTTTGTAACAGATGCTGTAAATCTGGACACCCCCCCTCCAAAACAAGATCCGTGGCAGTAGAGTCGTGCCCAAGAGCCAAATCTAGGTTTTGTGGTTAGTGATGGTTTTCCAATGGCAAAAAGAGGGCTCCAGCTTTTCCCTTTTGAGATTGAGGACTGGAATTTCTTTTTTGTTGTTATTGTTTTATTTTATTTTGAGACAGGATCTCCCTATACACAGCCCTGGCAGTCTTAGAACTCAGTATGTAGACCAGGCTGGCCTGGAATTCAGAGATACACCTGTTTCTGCCTCCTGAGTGTTGGGACTAACGGACCAAAACTCCTGGTGAAGACTAGAATTTCTTTCTTTGTTTTTTCAAGACAGCGTTTCTCAGTGTAGTCCTGGAACTCACCCTGTAGACCAGGCTGGTCTTTAGCTCAGAGATCTGCCTGTCTCTGTCTCCTCTCTATCTGCCACCACCGCCTGCTTAGAATTACTTATTGCACAGTTTGTGTCTAAGAAGGGGGGAAGGAGCATCAGGGACCATGGTGGGTGTTATTTGATAGTGGTGGTCTAAACATGGCTCTAGCTATTCCTATGAAACTATAATAGCTTTAGTAATAACCTATAATTGCTTCAATAATCCACCTTGCGACGTTATTTCTTGGCCTTCTAGTATAATTATCTCCTTCCCCTCTTGGAGGTGGAATGAATACAGAGGAACAGCCAGGTGGTGGCAGTGCGAGCCTTTAATCCCAACACTCAGGGAGGCAGAAGCAAGCAGGATCTCGGAGTTGGAGGCCAGCCTGGTCTACAAGTGAGTTCCAGGACATCCAGAGCTACACAGAGAAACCCATTCAAAACCAAAACAAATAAATAAATAAGGAGTAAAGAACATTATTTAAAAAACTGATTTTAAGCCGGGCGTTGGTGGTGCACGCCTTTAATCCCAGCACTCGGGAGGCAGAGGCAGGCGGATCTCTGTAAGTTCGAGACCAGCCTGGACTACCAAAGCCACAGAGAAACCCTGTCTCGAAAAACCAAAAAAAAAAAAAAAAAAAAAAAATGATTTTAAAAAATGTTCTGGTGGCCGGGCGGTGGTACTGCACACCTTTAATCCCAGCTCTTGGGAGGCAGAGGCAGGCGGATCTTTGTGAGTTCGAGACCAACCTGGTCTACAAGAGCTAGTTGCAAGATGGCTTCCAAAGCCACAGAGAAACCCTGTCTTGAAAACAAACAAACAAACAAAACAAAACCCAAAAAACCCAAACACTTTATGGTGTGTGCATACGTGCATGTGGGCTGGGTACCTGTGGAGGTCAGAGGACAGCATCCAGGAGTTGGTTTTCTTTTTCTTTCTCCCACCCCCCCCACAAGGTTTCTCTGTAGCTCTAGATTGTAGCAGGCTTTCTTTGACCACCAGCCCCCAAATCATGACACAGAAATTTAAAACTTAACGTTATGACTGTTTGGCCTTATACTTGTTTTTACTTTCTTTTTATTTATCCTATGTATCTTTTACATCATGTATCTTGATCCCATTCATCTCCCTATCCCTTCACATCCACCCTGCACCCCTCCCCAAATAAAATAAAATTTCACAGAAAAAAGGGGGGGTTAAAAATATCATCAAGGGCCGGGCAGTGGTGGCGCACGCCTTTAATCCCAGCACTCGGGAGGCAGAGGCAGGCAGATCTCTGTAAGTTCGAGGCCGGGCTGGACCGACAGCCTCCAAAACAATACAGAGAAACCCTGTCTCATAAAAACTATATATATATATATATATATATATATATATATATATATATATACACATATATATATATATCATCAAGGAAGCTTCAGTGTATCAGGCATAAACCCCTTTTTCTTTTTCTTTTTCTTTTTTTTTTTTTTTTTGGTTTTTCGAGACAGGGTTTCCCTGTGGCTTTGGAGGCTGTCCTGGAACTTGCTCTTGTAGACCAGGCTGGTCTCAAACTCACAGTGATCTGCCTGCCTCTGCCTCCCGAGTGCTGGGGTTAAAGGCGTGTGCCACCAACGCCCGGCTACCCCTTTTCCATATATGTTTACTTGCAAGTGTTCATTGCAAAGAGTCATTGGTCTGGTTTGAGGCCTCTGGTTTCTGCTACACTTGATGCTGGGTGCTCCCTGGACTCCTCTTGATTATCCTGCTGTTGCCCTGTGCTGTGAGATCCTGCAGCTTTGGGTCTGGGGTCAGGTCTTCACATGCTCCAGCAGATCATGGATGGGGGTGCATGTTGGGGTTGTGCTTGTTTCTTGCTAGCTCTTATAATTTATTAACCTGTCTCTTTTCATCTATGTTTTGCCTAGGGGCTTTTCATCTTTCTTTCATTCTGTATGTCTTACTTTCCTGTTTCCTCTGTGTCTGTCTGGCAGTGCCTGGCTTCTGGCCCTGGGCTGTCCCTCCCTTTCTCCCTTGTTCTCTCTTCTCTAAGCCTAGAGTCCCTCCTCCTCCTTATTCTATCTGGCCAAAAGCCTGCCTGTCCCTCTACTGCTTAGCTATTGACTGTTCA